GGAGTTCTGTTAATTGTTCCAGAGGCACCGTAGAATAAAAACCGATATAGTTTCTGATGGCAAGCTGAATTTCAATGTGACTACTATAACAATACTAATTATTAGAACATGTACTATATCTTTACTCAATATATCCTCCTGGTGATAATTTTCTCTGAATAGTTGTTTTACATGGAGCCTGTGTTTCACATGTGATTTCTGATACCAGAATTGGGATAGAAAGAAATCATTGCTTCGTTCAGTTTTATTACCATTTTAGATTCATCTTACTCGTAAGATACAAAAGGTCTAACCTTGCTATCTCATAATTTGTACACATTGACAGTATATTTTGTACTATACAGGAAAAAAGAAGGCGTGCATGAAATTATTAACATGCCAGTTCTTTCCATTCTCCAATCACAGGTCACAGCAACTGCTAAGCGTTCTTTCTTTCACTTGCTCATGGCTTTCCTTTTCCCATGTGGCTCTTCCTTTTCAATTTTCATTCTCTCTTAACCTTCCATGTGCTAAAACGTGCATGGGTGACTTCAGATTATCCAAGACACAGGAACATAACCGGTCATAGAGTTCATTCAAGAACAGAGTATATCAACACACCGATTATCTTCGGATGGACTCACATCACAGGCTAGTCAAACATGGGTAGGCACGCGGCAACGCCGTGCGTAGTTTCTAGTTATTATACAATTCTTATGAAACTCTTGCGTAGAAAATGGATTCTCATATTTTTTTTATCACAAACAAAAACCAATATAGATATGCACGACCCATCGATATTTCACAAGTCATATACTCTCTTTGTCACATAAAGTAATAAGATCTTATATAATTCAAATTTGCTCCAGAAAGCATTGTGCACACTATTTGACACTGATACTATTTGACAGTATTTTTTTATAGATAATTAAGCCATTTTTCTTTATCACTGATGCGTCATAGAAATCCTATAATATTTTCCTTTATGGGATGAAGAGAGCATTTGATACTCTCTTAGCCGACCAATATAAATGGGTGCTTTACAATGAGATTTAACAATAGTTCTTTTTTTTATGTTGTCAATTGCTCTCAACATCATCTTAACAATAATTCAAATTTTAATTAATTGGTGTAACTTTTGTACTCCATCCATCCCACAATATTTGCACGTTTAGGTTAAGTGTGAGCAGATCAATACAGCAGCGAAGTTACATTATTATCCTTATAAAAGGGTCTTCTGTCAACAACAGTTTGCTCAGTAATAATTGAAGTTCAGAAGCCACTAGAACGACAGAACGAGTAGGATGAGAGCTTCTAGACTCCCCTCGGACCAAAGGACAAAACCGTTGGCTTTTATTTTTGGAGATAAAAATTGTTTTTTTAATCTTTATTTTTTTGCTCTCATGTTGATGGACTTTGTCTGGAAAGAGCAATACTCCTAAAGGTTGGATCTTCCACCCCTACATCACTCCCTACATGAGCTTTTATTTTGGAAAAAAATTAAATAGTAGAAATGCAAATATTTTGGAACCTAGGGAGTATTGCATACATGCATATGATTTAACTAACTATTGGTCAATATTGGTAAGATTTGAATTTTCAGACAAAAATACACTTTGTAATGATGGATGGGTGAGACCTCACCCACGTTTTATAGAAAGGACAAATTCAATTTAAGACATACAGTTGAGGGATAGCTAGACTGGGTTGACCTTTGCGGCTTTGCCCTCATGAACATTGAACGTAAGGCTACGAAGTACGAATGAGCTGAGCTTGACGAGGTCATCTCCTCGAGCTGGAGCTTGTTAGACGGTCCAGCGAGCCGAGCCTCAAACTAGCCTGAGCCTAAGCTCGGTTTATTCGTAATTCAAGCCGATCTTTGAGGCAAGCTTAGGATGAGGTCTACACAAGCAGCTAGTTATGAAAGTGCATCTAGTCCTTTAAATGAGTTTAGCATATTGATGATGATACAATTAAGGGTCTAGATATTTATGAGGTATGGATAGATTATAAGTATATATGGATGCACGACAACATAAGGAGACCCTGCTTCCAATTCAAACGCTGTGTTGCTTTGATCATGAGGGTACTTTACACTTCTATTTTAAATATTGAATATAGGAAAAACCGTACTATCAAGGGGGACATAATTTGGTAAGCTTAAGGAAAACCATGAACAACCAAACCCCCCAAGCGAAACCGGAGCTTGGAAAGCCCAACCCCTATTCTTTTCTGGCCTCTGCGGAAGTTCCTCGATTGAGCACGATACTTCTACGCCACAGAAGTTCCGCGTTTAAGTGCAGAACTTCCACATTTAAATTGTATTGTTTGAAAAGTAGAGAGAGGTACATATACTCTCTCCCCTTCTTCTTCAACGATAGCCTGCTCCATTTACTCACTCACCAACTCGTGGACAGCACTCACTAGCTCCATTGAAGGCTCCCAAACCTCCCCCTTTGGTTCTTGGTGACATCCCTTGAGAGATTGGCCTAAGGAGTGGATTAGATAGCTAGTGAGCAAGCCTCCGAGAACTACAGCACTTGGTTCTTCCTTTAGATTGTGGTTTGAGTTCGTTGTCTTGTAGCTTGGACTCCTAGATTGCTAGAGGCTGTCTGGGAGCTTCTAATCAGCTGTGGTTAAGCATCTGGAAGTTTGTATTGCCCTTGTGAATCTAGTGGGAACCCTCAAGCTTAATCTTTGTGGTTCACTTGAGAAGGGATGAGAGTTAGAAGAGACTCCAAGCCTTCGTGGTTGTCCAAAAAACGAGGACATAGGCAAGCCCTAGTGATCCACTGAACCTCGAAGTAAATCTTGTGTCTTACCTCTTGTTGTTGTGATTTGAGCTCATCTATTGTTTGAATTACCCAATTAGAGTTTCTACATGATCTACTTGTATATTGCATCCTAGTTGCAAGGACACAGTGCAAAAAGAAGCTCGCACTACCATAAGGCTTGGTATTTAACTCGGTCTAAGTTTAGACTATGTTCAATTCAGTTTGTAGACATTGTCAGACGACATATTCATCAATAGTGAGAAGCTCGTGGTAATCTCGTCAATCTAAATTGTTGACTCAATGTAAAGGTAAATGTGCAGACATATATGTGAGTGTTTGTATCTTTAAAAAAAATAAAAAAATTGTATATGTTGGAGCCTCGACATGTCTTTTAAGAGATATATATATATCAAAAACTATATAAGACCCTGTTTGGATCATTGGAATTAAAATTTATTCTAATAATCAAAATTTAGATACAGACCAATTAAGTTAATATGGCCGCATGCAGAATATACTTGTATACTACTGTTGGCCATATGGGAGAGATACTTATATTCTGCACTTTTGTTATAGGGGAGCGAGCCAAAAGTGTGCTATAAGTTGCATAGCATGGAAATCTATGGAATCAATTTCTCTCTCCTAACCCCATAAATTTAAGATAGATTTGTATCTAAACTTTGAAAAGTAGAATGTTAAATCATAAGTCAAATAGCCTAGTGCATAAAGTAGATTCTAATTCCTCCAAAATAAAAAAAAATCCAAACAGGCACTAAGTGAAATGAAAGTGCAACGTTGCTACCATCCGATGAATCTTCAAATCACCCCTCTTCTAAAGCTCTTGTAGTCCTTCCTTTTCTAATCTGCAAAGTACTAATATTTTTAATCTGATTTCATCTTTGAAATCTTGGACATGTTTGGATACAAACTACTAAAAAACAACGTAGCTTTTAAAAATCCTTTAGGGCCCTTTGGAACACAAAAATTCATAGAACCGTTTATGAATCTCATAAAAAACATAGAAATAGAAAGATTTTCTTGCGTCCCAAATATGGCCTTAGTGTCCGAATGTACTGGTAGTTGCGGTAGTTTCAGAATCATGGTATTGCTAAAACCAACAATCAAGCAGGTCCAAAGTTCTATTCACGCACGGTAGTCGGTAGGGTACTAGCGTTGAAAAACGAATGTTTTCAGAAACGCATCATCCTGTAGCCGAATGCTCCTGCAGGCAGGTGCACGGATCATGTCCACTCCAAGAAGCTGGCAAGAGGACGATAGCACATGGGAAAATGCATCGCCAGTTCCCCACTCCACTAGTGGTGATGGCCGTCAAGGCGTCAATAACATCGCACATGGTCCACGCGACATCTCGTTATCAATCTTATAGTGGCATCTCATCGTTATTACTAATAACAGAGTCCTTTGCCGAACTCAAGAAACTCACCACAATATCCCGTCCTTCTGTTTTGAGTTTTGACAGATCCAAACCCACCCCGCTTTTGTTTTGATGCCACGGTCACAGTATTGCAGAGGAACACAAAAGATCACTCACTTCGCTCAGTGCAGTAGGGAATAACCTCTCCCTCAGCGCCCTGCAGCAGGGAACAACCTCAACTCAAGGCAGGTAAAACAGGCCATACTGCCATGCACACTGTGGCCAAAGGGGAACACACATGTAATGACCAAAAGGCTCAAATTGACCTAACACACCAATGATTGCACAAATGATGCAGAATGATACTCCCTCCGTACTAAAAAGATTATCACATATCGAGAAAAAGTTAGCATACAACAAAAATACGCTTATATCCCAACTCTTTTTATTCTTCATATCTGTTGATTGAACAAAAGCAAACAATTGCAACTAATCATAAGCTACAGTTGCTTATTTAGGGACATCACATGTGGTAGAGTTCCATTTCTTCAACGATGGAGGGAGTGCATCAAAGAATAACAATGACTCCATACAACAATCTTTTGCAGTATTCAGTTAAGATTTGGAAGGAATGGATGGAGCTCGCCCAATGAATGGAGCTCATCAAAGCCATCGTTCTGCTAAGTTCAAAATTCAACAACGTTTGCATCATATCAAGTACAAAGCAGTAGCATACAGTGACCTCAAAGAACAGAGTATTTGCAAAAAATATGGAAGGAATAGCAATGCTACTAGCACAGCGCTCATAATCCATATGGCAATCTTTTAGCTCGAGCTCTGCATTTCTGAATGTTTCAAGTGCAGATCCCAATTCATTCAGGTTTTGCCTGCAATCAACCAGACAAAACACATAATATGTGCTTTAGCATTATAGCATACCAACAAGTGACTAATAGTACGAAGGTCTGGAGCTGTTGAAAACATACCGGAGAACAAGATCGGGGCAGACTTTTGCTCCTGGCAGGACTCCTGCTTGCAGACTTGTCACGCGGGGGCTGTACAACACTTAACTGGTCACATAAAAAAAGTATTGGATAAAAATGCATTATTTATTTCAAAAACTTACAGAAACAGGAGGGGATCTGGATGGTGATCTGCAAAATGTATAAAAAAATTGTTAGTCCATAATGCTGCATGAAAATATGATTTAACCCAAATATCGTAGAACCCATACATATATATATTCTGAAAATATTAAGTGACCACATGAGATATCCACTCATGCCTGTCATTCAGTTGTTTTGAACAATATATATAAAAAAAAGCTCAAAATCTAGTTAGAAATTGCAATTTCTCATAAGAGGAAACTACAATTCAGCAAACAAAGATACAGCCAACATGGATTGAAATGATCCAACAGGGCCAGAGCTTTCTTTTTCTGATGTGCAACTTTTTTACAAAAGAAAACCTCAATGTTAAAGCTCACATTTATATTTGAGGATAAGGGCACAACCTCATCACTGAGACCAAGGTTTTATATTTCAGAATGGAAGTGCTGAAGTCAACAGTATTTGATTATACCACAAATTCCAGTCCGTATATGTTTGGTGCCAGCCCTATCTTGCACCTATTGCTGGTTGCAGTCCACTTGTCATACAGTGCATCACAATCCAGCTGACTATCCAACGTTCCAAACCATCATCATGTTCTCAATATTCCATTATCCTACCAATGCAATCCCCAGATCCTCACATTGCCCCAATCTAGTGAAGAAAAGAGCAAATCTTCAACAATGAAGAATAGCTATCCAGTCACACACAATGTTACATGTTAATAATCAGATGCAGTGAAAATTCAAATTCATGTAATGAAAAATACAGCATCAAGCCATCAACAAGCATAATCTAAGCCATAAAGTACAATAACGAAAAGGAAAATTTCAAAACAAATCTAGAAAAAAACTAGGCTACTGATATGTTTTCCCCTGCAATTGTTAGATACCAATATTTTGAGTTACCATTAGTTTCTTGAAAACATTAGTTTTCTAAATTTCAAACCATTCAATACCAAATTTAACTGTTCATACCTTGCTTTAACAGGTGATTTTGACTGAGAAGCAGATCTAGATCTGAATCAACAAAAAAAATGCATGTTAATATCTTAGATGTGCCCTAGTCAACATTTGAGCATGAAGAAAATTGAAAAATATACCTTGGGCTCCTACTCTTGCTATAACTGTGGCTTCTGCTTCTTGAGTATGAGCGGCTACGGCTTCTGCTTCTCGACTTAGAGCGGCTACAGCTTCTGCCTCTGGAGCGAGAACGGCTGCGCCTAGCATCATACTCCCTCACCTATAGTAAGACAAATGATGAACATGCTAATTTTCAGTTGAGAAGGTGAAACAAATGTGTCGATAAAGCATTTGGGTACTGCTAATCAAAATCATCAGGACAAAGATGACCATACCCGGATATATGTCCTTGAAAAAGCATTACGGAACTCAGAATCATCTAGCTTCCTTATCTACGAGGTAAAAGTACTAGTTGTCAGTACATATCTTCATGGAAGTATGCAAGTATGCACGGACAGGTACAAAGATTACACATATCACGAAGTTTCTCCTTTTCCAGTGATCAACCATATGTAAAAAAGTTTCCTATGGCAGTACATAACCTCTATTTTAAAGGGAAGATGAAGAAAACACTTCAAAACTTACCGCGTGTTTCATATCTTCATAGTTAGTATAATCAGCTATTCCAATAGTTGCTGCAATCATAAACATAAAATTAGATATGAGCATCAATAGACATTCCTTCTAAAATATGATATGATACAGTTTGAATGTCTGTCATGCTATCCAAAAGGTCAGCCCACTGTGTAATAAATCGATAACATCAGAACATGTCAAAACTAACCTCCAGCCTCACGATACACATCAGTGAAACAGACATCACCAGCTCGCCGCATATGATCCTGAACATGAAAGTAAAATTAAGGATTATGAGGCAAAAACAATAGCTAATGACCTTAGATCTTCATCAAACCTTGAGATCTTGCCATGATGCTGAAGAAGGTAATCCAGTAACCATAACTGCATAATCAATGACCCGATACAGTAAGATCAGAGAGAGATTTCAAGTTGCTGAAGCTTTGAAAATTGGCAATAAAAAAAATACAAACCACGGTAATCAGAACGTTTAGAGGCACCGCGTTGTCCAGCACTGCTATAGCTGCTAGATCGATCAAATGAAGACGGACCTCGTCCACCATGAGCTAATTCCACCTGGATATAAAGTATAAATAACATTAGAAGAATTCAGATAGCTATCATCTCTGTAACCTGGAGATCTCTAATGAAACAGGTATTCATCAAGATCCACCTACCCGCAACCTATGGCCATCAAAGTTGTATCCATCACGGCCATATATTGCATCTTCAGCATCATGTGGGTCCTCAAACTGCAAAATGCATCAGTGTGTTGTTAGTCCTCCATCATCATAGCATGTCTAGATTATTGATTTTAGAGAATAATTTAGTAATCCTTGCTTAACATTCAATAGAGTACTTAGCATTACTGATTTATTCCACGGTTGTCATTGTTGCGTACATTAGATATGTTGGAATAATAAGCATTTCAGGCAATATTCTTTTTTAGTTTTCTTAAAATAAGGTATAAAACCTCCTAAAAATTCACCACTGAAAAACAAGGTTTTTGATAAAAAAATATTGGACCGAGCACAAATTATGAACGTAAATCTAATGAGTACAAAGTATCCTCATATCGAACAGACACCAGCCTACTCACCTCAACAAAAGCAAAACCAGGAGGCCTTGGTGGAATTTTCAAGTCAATTTCCACTATACGTCCATACTGCAGAAGCAGAAGGTAAAACATAAAATTAACATCCAGGAAAGTTAATCAACCAGAGTAAAGATACAAACAAAAATTTACAATTCACAATCCAAATTGCCTTCCCTTCCAGAGCTCCATCCATATTAGATTAGATGGTGTTAGAAGGCAAAACACAATTAGCAGTGGTGAAGTCCACAATGAACAGAACTTTAAATAATCACTGAAATATAGGTGGTGACTACACAGTGAAAACAAAATAAAAAAACAAGTACATGGTCCAACGCACACAATTATAAAACTCACAGCAAGAGTTTATTGCACATCAAATATCAATATTAGCAAACCCTACAGTACATCATAGGCACCTCTTCCACTTCAGCAATATTTTGAGCCATAAAGAAACTATTCCCAACACTCCCCTAATCTCCCCATATCATACTCGCAGGCTTGACTGACACCACAACAACGTCCCCACCTATCTAGCATTCGACGAGAAGCCCTGTAAATAGGGCCGGAAGCTCGGTACACGATCCAACCAACCACTCACCTTGTAGAAGAGATCATCTACTTCCCTCTCGCGGATGTCGCCGGGGAGATTGCCCACGTAGATCGTACAGCCGTTCCGCCGGGTCATCGTTCCTGCAACAAGGATACTGAATCAGACAGCAGTAGGAACAATCCCAAGCAAACTGTTACGGAGAAACTGCCGAACTGGTGCGGCACCCCGGGAACAAGTCGACAACTACTAAAACCGAGTAATCCTGGCCAGGAACAAATCCAATTCTGGGCGCCGAATCGCGCCGGGACGAGAAAAATAATTGCAAAAGCAGCACCTGCTGTGTTGGAGAGAAAAAAAAAAGCAGCACCTGCTACGGGAACAGAATTGCACACTAGATTTCGACCGGGGGACTGCGGCTCCCGGGGCGGAGAGGGGTTCGCGTTGCCTCACCTGCGACGACTCTACGGCGGCGAGGAGCGAGGAGCGAGGAGCGAGGAGGGCTTGAGTCGAGGTCGAGGTCGAGCAGCTTCGGCGGATGCCGGCGCGAGGGTCCTGGGAATTGTGGATTGTTCGCTTTGCGATTCGTGCCGCGTGGATCTAGTCGCGGTTCGTGGTCGTGGATCCCTTCCGGGCTGGGGCTGGACCTTTGCGGGCCCAGTCCAGAAGTAACAGCAACACCAGCCGCGCTCCCGATTTTATGAAATATAGAAAAGCCGAGGGTCTTAGCAGAAAAGTGCAGCGCCCATCGCCGGCCCGTGCCGTCTCCTCCATTTTCTTTCCCCTCTTCGCTCTCCGGTGGGGCGGTGGTGCCGTTCTCTTCGCCTCCCCTCGCTCTCATCCGGTGAGCTCCTCCGATCCATCGGTCCCAAATTAGCCCCAGCTTTCAGATTTGCTTGTTTCCTCTTAGATTCGGTCAACGCGCGCCCGGTTCCTCGCGGTGACTTCGAGGTGTTGCGAGACATTGAGGTTTAGGAGAGGATTGTTTAGGATGGCATCGCCTGTTTCTTGCATGTTGATGTACTGGTTACATGATGCCGATGGCCGATTTGGTGGCGGGCTGGGATCGGTCTGCGTGGATGGGAGCTGTTTATGTGGTTGCTTGGGAATCTTGTGTGGGTCAGACTTTCACTGTTGGAGATGTTGAACTTTTTATCCATTACAGATTTTTCATGTTTATAAGTTTATTTATTACTTCCTCGGTACATTCCACCAAATGCATATATTTCTTGTACGCTTGTTGGGTACTTCCCATTCTAGTTATTTACAACTCGTAAAGTTGCAAGTTTAAATTCTTGGTCGTCTCTTTCAAAAGGCAGTGAACTCCTTTCGGAAGAAAAAAAGATTACATTATTGCTACTGAACCACTTGATTATGGCATGCGGTCTTTCTCGGTTGGTTTATCCTATGAGTTCAGGACGTGTCCTTTGATTGGTATAGTTCTGAACTGATCAGATGGTGCATTCTGTTTTGTTTAGGACGTGTATAACTCATGTGGCTATAGAGGATCTATCTAATATTTATTTTGTACTATAATGTTTTTGTACTCTTTGGCTACAACTTGTTTATGTCTACTAGCTTCCTAAGCTAAGATTTAGGTTGCTTTCTTATGAGCAGAGGTAAAACTCCTTTAAAAAAAAGATTTAGATATCATTTTATCTCATTGCAATTGTGTTCTGCTGTTAGCCAGTCTTATTAGATGATAGTTTTGTTTTGTTAATCCAGTATTCTTGTTTCATATGTCATCAGTTTGAGGTTTTGGCCTATTTTACCCAAAGCTGATTGGGCTCATGGATGGGAACAAAGATGAGGCCTTGAGGTCTGTCAAGCTTGCAAAATCTGCATTTGCATCTGGGGATAGGCAGCGTGCAGAAAAATTAGTTAAAATTGCTCAAAGATTGGACCCCAGTCTTCCACTTGATGATTTGTTGAGCCCAGTTGAGAAAGTTGGCATCCTGAACAGTGCTACTTGCGAAGGCAGGACTGGAAAAGGCCAAGCTCGTGTGGACCCAAAAACACCAAATGAATCTGTTGGTCCTTTAAATGTTGATCAGGCTTACACTGAGGAGAATATTAGAGTGGTTCAGGATATCAGGAAAAAGAAGGATTACTATGCAGTTCTTGGAGTAGAGAGAAGATGCTCTGTGGAGGAAATTAGGAAGGCCTACAGGAGGTTATCACTGAAGGTTCATCCTGACAAGAACAAGGCTCCTGGTGCAGAGGATGCTTTCAAGTTGGTAAGCAAGGCTTTCAAGTGCCTAAGCAATGATCAGTCGCGGAGGACTTATGATCAAACAGGCACCATTGAGGACCATGAATTCAATGAGCAATATCCCAATGTCATGAGAAGGGGAGCTGCTAGGCGGAGGAGGCCAGCAAGAAGTAGCTTCCATAACTATGAAGAAGATTTTGATCCTGATGAAATATTCAGGTCCTTCTTTTATGGCACCCATGATAATCTGTTCCATGCTCAGAATACCTACAGGGCTAGGGGAACAGGCAGGCAACAGCAACAGAGAAGGGAGCATTCAATGCAGGGTGGTTCCGGCACAAATGTAACAGTGTTAATTCACCTTGTTGTGGTACTGCTCATTGTTTCGCTTGCATTTATTCCAGCGCGTCGGTCTGAGTATTCCCTGCAAAAGACATACTACTTTCCCATTTCAAAGGTCACTCAAAACCAAGGGGTGGAGTACTTTGTCAGCAAACAAGATTTTGATCAGCGGTTTCCACAAGGGAGTCAGTCTAGAGAGAATCTTGAACAGCATGTTTTGAAGGACTATAAGAGTCTGCATGGAAAATATTGCCATGTGGAACTCCAACGGCGTCAATGGGCCAAGGACTACCCTACACCTCACTGTGACAAGCTAAGGAGCCTGTCTGAGGCGTGAAATGTGCATATGTGATTAGTTTGATCTCCCATTTTCGTCCATGGAAGACTATCACTCACATTTGCAGGTATTATTCAGTTTTTCATTGAACACAATTAAAAAAAAACTCAACCCTAGGGGACCCCAAGGCATTATGATTAAGAAGAGCCTTAACAACACAGGCCGAGAAAACCTCTCAAACCCGCCTTCACCCTATAGGGAAGCACCATAACCTTGGCTCATCACAACCTTCTGGGCTAGCAACCACTGCAAATACCCCCCGCTAGGAGGGCCCAAACCAACCGCAAGAACCCAACCGCAAGAACCATAGACCAATGCCCTTCCACTCTTTTTTTTGGGTTGCTAGTGAGGGGATTTTTTTTGCTCTAATGTTCTGATTTGTTAATCCGAGCAAAAGATATTTTCAAGTTTCCTCTTAGCCTCAAAGTATAGCCAGGACTTGTACAGAAGGTAACTATCTGTTGTTTTTAGTATGATGTTTCTACTCTTAGAGGGGACAGTAGTACAAAGAGAGCAGTAGAGTGCAACTCAGTTTGATTTGACTGCCTTATTCTAGTAGCATAATGCTGAGCTAGGTTGCCTGCCTTTCTTCAACATATTAAGCTTCTAGCTTCGTTAGTTCATGGAAGTCAGTAAAACATTTAAAACCTGAGCACTTCATTTGATCTAACAGTTTGTTTATATCCTTAGACAGCTTGTTTGTGTGATCAACTCATATGTGGCCATTTATATTGATCATTTCACACTGAACTTAGGTTTGGTCTCCTTCTGAATGTGTCTCAACACACGTCTTGTTTTCTTGCGTCTTTGTTGGATGATGCAGGTGCAACATAGGAAATTATTTCGAACAAAAGGAACATAGTATGGTTTCTAGTCCGTCTGGTTGTGATTTGACAACAAATGTTAACTGGACAGTAGTGCTACCCGGTGTTATAATAGTAAAATCATATATGTTTATAATTCACAAAATTATATGTGTTTGTGCAATGGACACAGTTGTGAACCAGTAAGCCAGAGCATAAAAGCCTTGTTTACATGAAGAGATGGTTGGTGACCAACCGATTGAAGTTGCGGTGACGTGGCCATTGGTTCACGTTGATGCAGATGCAGCACACCTGACACCTCACACCTCCGACGTTGCTGTGGATGCCCGCACTTTACTGTAAAATTCTTTCAAAGGCAAATGGAACTGTGGGATACTTGTGGGACTTTGATGCTTCTGGTTGTGCTCTGTTGAACGTTTTTTGAAGAAACACTAGGCTCGTTCCCTACTGTTTTTATATACTCACTCCATCTTAAAAAGAATGTATTTATAGCTACAGTGCTAAATCAAACAATCTTCTGTTTGACATTTTTACAAATATACTAATATGATATCAGATAAGTATCATTAGATTCATTATGAAATATATTTTCATATTTATACTTATTTGAAATCATAACTGTTGATATTATTTTTATAAACTTAGTCAAATTTATAATTATTTGATTTGGACCAGATCTAGAAGTGCATTTGTTTAGGAGGGGGTATATTTATAAAAGAACTTTGTTTCATGGATAAACAAAGTAAAATGTAACGTTTGTGTTAACTATGTATTTCTTTGGTCCATGGATAACCATGCCAAATGCTTTCTAAAGATTTTTCTTTCATGCTTCCATTGGTGGAGGTGTTGCCCAAAAAACATATGATCATTCCAGTTGATCCAAATGCTCTAGCTTAAATGATAACAATCTCCACGAGAAAGGAGACATGTAGTTTTTAAGGAAAACACTTATACTTTCTCATATCTAATAATATTTATCAAGGAAGCCAGATATAATTCTGAATCAACTGCTCATGTAATTTTTTTTTTTTTTTGTAATTCTGATGAACCAAGTGCTCTTCATTCGCGCGTGTGTGAGAGAGAGAGAGGAAGAGAGAGACCCTTTCCTCTCCATTCATTTTGCAATTGACGGAGTGAATTGTGCTAAATTGCCAAAAGAACGGCTTCGTTGTGTCCACGATGCCGGGATCCGGGCTCCCGGCTCGTCCGGTGTGGCATTGCGGCGTCTCTCCACCGTCCGTTGCTGGGGCTGCATGCCACCATGATGCGCATTTGGAGGTGGCTGGAATTTTGCAGGTGGATATATCGGTGGAGCTCCATAATCGATTTGGCCTGGAACGTTGATTCCTTCACACTTTCACTCTCGTCGCTCACAGACTTTTTCCCCATTTCAGTTCCACGGCCTGAGTTTCTGGCGATGGGAGCCCCCTTAAGGACGGACAACCTTGGGAGACGCGCGACGCGTCTTCTCCGCCATGCGCCTCCTCTTCCGGTTCCTTTTCTACCTCCGTCTTCTCCCTCCCCGCGCCCCTCCCTATGATGCACCGGTGCTTCCAAAATAAGTAACATAGAAAATAGTAGTATCAGTTGCTAAATACTACTATAAGCCATATCCATAGATTTGATCCAATGAAACGAAAGATAAAAGCAATCCTCATCATGGTTCTCATAATTTAGTAGCAGTGTAGCAACAATAATCATTTGTCAATATAATGTGTAGCTGGCAAATCTCACACAGACACACAGAAAGCACACCACACAGGAGGAGGAGGACATCACATCACCAGCAACGATAGACTTCATGAAGAGGATCTCAAGCAAGCAGAGGTGTACCCCCACCCAGACCCACTAGTCGATGATCCGCTAGCTCATGCTGCGGCTGAAGCTGATGACTGATGATCTCCTCTCCTTGTTTATTTAATCTTCCTCTCATGGACGTACAGTCACAGCAAGCTCGCTCACGAAATTAAAACCAAACAGGATCCATGCAGTGCAGTGCAGTGCAATGGATCGGAAGCAGCACAGATGCCGAGCACACACAAGCCAGCATCTCTGCCACACGAAGGAAATATCAAGCAAAAGCAGCAGCCGAGTGCCCAACATCGATCAGGCAAGTCGTCATTGCCTGGCAAACGAAGCGACACACCAGAGCCTCCTCCACACATGTGACACACAAGCAAATAAAACAGCGACCGTTGAAGACTCCAAGGAAGCAAAGCAATCCAAGCATAGCATATCTCGATCTTCTCCTGTTCATGATGAACCATTCCTTTCAGTTCCATGGAAGGGACTGCTACCTACATACATGAAGAAAAGAAGAATACGAGTGTGATCCATCAGTGAAAGCAGATCCATATCAGGTACACACATGACATCCGTAGGATTAACAACAACAATAACATTGTTGGTACAATCTTTTTTTAAAAAACATTGTTGGTACATAAATAAATGATAAAGCCAGCAGTGGTGGGGTTCAAGCAAAGCAATTCGAACGAATCAAGCAAGCAAGACGTAGAGGAAGGAGAGGTTATGAATTAATTAATGTACAGTATGATGGATGGATGGGTTACCTGAGCACGGAGGCTCGGAGCAGGTTCTTCTTGTAGTACGCTGAATAGGTGGGCTTGTAGTGGGAAGGGTGGTGGCCAGCCTCTTCCCCGTCCCACTCGAGGTTGTCCCACCATTCCTTCTCGCAGTCCAAGTCCACCATTGACGGCGCCGTGAAGTCCCACTTCCACCATTCCTTCTCCCAGTCCAACCCTACCGCAACCCGAACAGCTGGTAGGCGCTTGAGGCCCCAGCATCCCCTGATCTTCACGGTCTCGAGATTGGGCGCCAACATCCTTTGCCCACAGATGCGCTGCAGCTTGGGTAGCTCATATAGGTGGATGCGCTTCAGTGTAGGAAATCTTCTTGGTTGCTGCTGCTGCAGTTCTAAATCAGATGGGAAGACTTCCCTGAGGTCACTGCAGCACACGATCTCAAGGGTTTCCAGTTCACAACATCCGTTTGTATTTGCGGTGTACAGAGGGAGTACATGTACCAGCCTGGGGCAATAATCCAGGTGTAAGAACGTAAGATACTCAAAGGAATGTTCACCAGGCCGAAATGCTGATATGCTCCAGTCCCAGATGTAGCGCGCCTTTGGGAGTTGGGATGCCCAGAATGTCTCCAGATATTCGAAAATGTCGTCTCCATCCTGCCCTGGTGAAGGCGCAGTGAAAACAACACCTTCTAAGTTGGGGCATCTCTCGAGTCGGCACCATTTTAGTTCATCCCAATCCAATTCTGCTTCAGCAGTAGGTGTAGGGCCTGGGAGACAGGTGATGGACAAGCAATCATGCAAGTGTAGGGTCTTAGCGTCCTGATTCACAAAACATGGCAGAGTTGTATCCCTTGGTAACTGTCTAGTAGTAGTACCCTGCAGTGACTCAACATGTTTCTCATCATCTTGTATGCTAATGTAACAGTTGACCAAAGTATAATTAGCCTTAGGAACAGGTGGGCACTGCCATATCCACATGTTTCTTATCCCTAAGGCCTCAAAGACATCTCCATTGCTGGCACCACCACCAGATTGCGAGTTGCTACCAAAGGTGGAAATGGTGTCATCATCATAGTACAAGTTAGAACCAGTTGGCTTCTGCAGGTTTACAGCTTTCACTTGCTGTCTGCCGCCACCATCACTATAGGATCCTTGGTTGGTACTACCTTTGTGACCACCACCAGCAGATGAAATCTCGATGTGCAACCAATTGGTATATCTGAGGTTCAAAAGTGAACCAAAAACCCTTGGGTCCCTCAGGGATATATACCAATCCAAGCCATTGAGTGCTCGGCTGTTGTCACATAGTGTTGCTGATGTTGACCACCCTACACTTGTGTTGTCACTGCTAGTAGCCTCTCTCTTGTGGGATTTATCTTCCCTATCCCATTCTGCAAGGGTGCTGGTGTCAATGCGCAAAACTTCCAGATATATATATTTTTCTCCTGTGGCCATGCTATTGCATGGAGCTTCTCACACCCCAACAAAACGAGTCGCTTGAGGCCCTTGACTTGTGTTGCACTAAGGTCAAGCGTGTTAATTGCTGTACCAGACATGTCTAGCTCCTCAAGGCTGCCGAACAATCCTCTCAATAGCAGGCTCTTCAGTTGGGTGCATCCCCGAAAGGAGACGCTCTTTATCTTAGTGGTATCATTGCTGGTGAGGCTAAATGACTATAGTGACAGGGGCAAGGCATCTGAGCCAATTATCTCAAGATCACCACAACCATCAAGGACGATTGTCTTGAGGATGTGCCAACTTGACAGGTCTGGGAACGATGCTACCATAGGTGATTCTTGTTGAATTCTATCACCGCCAGCACCATCGTGCCCATTGTCCTTATATGATTCAGCTACCACTCGAAGCTTGAGCAGCTTACGGCTGTTGCTTCTGGGACCACTGCAACGATGAAGGTGGCTCATGCTCTGATTGCCGACTCCTTTCACATTCAGCTCCCTAAGGTCAGACATAAGATCCAACATGTCATTTGACAGTAGCCAATACCAATCTGTATAACTTAGCTCCAGCACCCATAAATTCTGAAACCATGCTCCACCGTTTTCTTGGCTATGGTGGCTATGATGATGGCAGTTATTTTCTTCACCGTCATCCTGTGCATCCTTGTTTTTGCAGTGGTCAAGTAGGAGGAATCTTAGGTGACTGCATCTCAGGAAGGGAGGAGATGAAAAACTGAAGGTGCAGTGGGAGAGATGTAACACACGCAGACTTGTCTTATTAGAATGTTCAAACATGCAAGCTTCTAGTCCACCTCCTGTCCAGAAGAAGGATGTTGCCTGAGATGGCACTTGGACCTCCATTGTGGTTTGGGAGGTGACTGAAACCCAGTGGTCCATACGCTTCCACTGTTCCAGCAGTTTACAGATCACTTTAACACAACAGTTAAGCAAATCCAAGTTCACGTTCATCTGCAAAGCGTCGCCAATCTCCCATGCTGATTTACTACCATCAGCGGCATCCTGTATGATTCCATCACATACCCAGCAGTTGGAAGCATGGCACTCCCAGCTGATGTTGTGGTCATTGCCTATTAGTGCCCTATACAAGATGCATTCCATGACAATCTTCTGGCTCATGTCAGGTTCAGGGACACCCATGCATTTTGCAACCTCTGCAGCCTCTGCATAAACAAGGTGCCTTATGGTATCAAGCGTAGTAGCATCGTTCTCGTCATAACCTGATAAAACAGCAGATATAGCTATATCACTCAACCCAGCTAACTCCTCCACATCCTTCTCTATTCCATGCCCTTCTGTGAGATGATGCCAGAACCTGCCCCGGGATGTCCACAGCACCCTCTTGCCCAAATCGCCGATTACAGGGACACCGACCTCCCATAGATCGATGTAGCTGCCACTCCCATTGTACAGAATCACAAGGAATCTGCGGGTGCTAAGTTCATTCATGATTGCTAACCTGACATAGGGAATCACACCTCTAGAACTCTGCTTCACCCCATCAAGGTCATCCTTCTCATCAAGCTGGTCAAATAAGGCCATCACCTGATTGGGTAGCTTCAGCTCCTCGGCAATCTGCTTTTGCAGGGATCTCTTGCCCTGCCACCTTAAGAAATCGATGTTGATGATCTTTCCCAAACCCCTTGCTGTCCCAGTTTCAGCCCATCCTGATGATGATGTTAGTCGTTTAGCGACCTCTTTGAGTACAGCAGACGCTCCCCATCCACCCCAGCCATGGAAGTATATTACATTTCCTGCCTTGTCTGTGTGCTCCAAAAAATCAATTATCCGCTCTGCTGCGCCATCTATGTTGTCTGCCTTGACTGTGATCCACTGCAATAATTATACGGCACTAATCAATTTGACAACCCCATATCTTGAATCAAGATTATAGAAAAGATATTCCTTATATTTTGAGACCGAGAGTGGACTATGTATGCTTTACAGTGCAGCAGCAGGAAGCATACTTTCCAAACTTTGTGTTGCAGTTAAACATTTTTCAGAAAGTATATATAAACATAATTGATGATGTTTTGGCACATGAAAAATAGAATCAATAAATTTTATTTTCGATCAAAGTTGAGCATGTCCATAACGAAACAAAAAAAAAGAATTGCTTAAAAAACAAACAGAGAAATCTATTCCATGCCAAGCATATATACATATATGTGGAGGTTAGGAGAAGTAGACACTGATTGATTTATATACCTCCATTGGCATGATGAATTGGTCTGTCGCCTGTCTCTTGAGCTAACTAGCTCTACAAGCTAAGCTCGCAGCTCCATCAGAATCTGCAGCTCCAGATTTTGACGTCAGAACCAAATGTATGCATAGCAGAGCAGCGTTGAAACACACCAGATTTCCTCCTCCAGACTTCACTCCAGCAAATGGATATCTCCTGCACATACAGTGTATACAAAGTAAGTGCTAGTTAAAAGCTGGAGAAAAAAACATGCATTCCTGATCCCTCAGTTTGAAAACTTAGTTAAAACTTGTAGTGAACCCATGGATCTATAGATGAAGTTGAACTGGATAAGCAGACAGAATTAGTGAATTACCTAGACCACGACGACATTAAAATTACAGGCAGGGACGACATACATATGCCTATCTGGAATTCAGGAGGTCGATTGCATCCACTCTAATGTTTGCGGATCAGACAACCAGCATGCTTAGATTGTATAGTGGAAGAGAAGCGCCATTAGAATGAGTGCAGGTGCAGAGTTTGCATTACACAGTATGTTCCTTGCTTCGTGTTTGCTTTATTTGCTTTTGTGCAAAGCAAAATCATCACTAATCAGATTCTTTTCTTGTAGCATCATTTGCTTGCTCGCGGAGCTTAATAAAAAACAGAAAAGAGAAAGGTTAAGGTAACTTAGCTATTTAAATAGTCTTGTCTGTCAATCCGAGGGCCACGGATCAGTGTAATCTGTCTTTTCCTATTCTTTTACCTTTTTTATGTAGTGTAAGTCACTGAGATGAGAGGTAAAACCAGTAACGTGCTGCATGCAGCATCCACAGTCAGATTCTTTGCTTGTAGATGACCAAGATAAAAGGGAAAGGGAAACAGAAAGGAAAAGGGGAAGGGAAGGTTATCGCTGTAATGTAATGGCCCCAACAGTACTATAAAAAGCCATTGCTTAAAGATAATCTATAAAAAGCCATTGCTTAAAGATAAGCCCAGCAACTCCTGCTTCAGTTAGGCCTAGAATCTTAATTACATACTCCATTCGTCCCAAAATGAATAACTTTCTAAGGTTTAAAATTTGTCCTATAAATAACATTCTATACAAACATGAAACATTGTCTTCTAATACAGAAACTAATCATGAGTACATGCAAACGATAACCGCCTAATCCAAGAAATATCCTCCACGAAAGGAAAGGAGACGAGGGTATATACGTCTTTTACCAGCATTCTTAGTTTATCTAAAAAATTTCAAAAACTTATTAATTATGGGTGGAGGGAGTATTTTAGAAATTATGAGAATGAATTTAGTAGTATAACTAATAAAGAATGAATATATTTACTCTCTCTATTCATCTCCTAACACAATGTCCATTTGTATACTCTATAATGGGTGAATCGAAGCTAATCAAAATTTCTTCCGAAATGGCCGTTGTCCCAAATAACCCACCAAAACTCACAAACATGATGCCATCGAGCCAACTGGTGGCTGGATGTTCTCGGTAACGACCAGAGAACACAGCGGAACACTCACCACAACGAAAAACCAAGCGCAACATCGAAATTCTCCAAAATCCGAAAGCGGAGCTCTTAACTTCCCGTTGGTGACTTGAGGACTTAGAAACCTTCTTAGGCATTACTGGAAACCCACGGAAGAAACGGAACAAAATTTGGACACTAGAAGCTCGAAAACACAACAAAAGAGCAAAGACACTGCAAAAAGTCGGCCCAGCCGAGGGAGGAGGTCGGCCTAAGCTTGGTGAAAGGTCCTAATGGCTAGAAGGGGGTGAATAGCCTATTAAAAATTTCTACAACAACACTTAGCAAACCGGTTAGACAAATATGACGCGAAGCGAGTGTTGCGCTAGCCTACTAAAAATGTAAGCCACCTACCACAATTCTAGTTTTTATTTTCTCTATCCACACAATGGCTATGTCACTACACTAAGTTAGTGTGCTCTCAAAGGCTAACTAAAGAGCCACACTAACTAAACTAACAAGCTCTCACGAATAGCTACACTAAAGAGCTTGACAACTAGTTTGCGGTAATGTAAAGAGAGAGAGCAAGATGGTTATACCGCCGAGTCGAGGAATGAACTAACCAATCACAAGAATGAATACCAATGTAGACCAATCATCAGGAATCAAATGATGACATAATGATTGAGGTTCAAATTTTGCAAGCTAGATGATTCACTCACTTGGATGTTTATAATTGGCATCTCCAAAACCCTATAGGGTGCCGTACAACCAACACAAGATGAGGATCACACAAGCCATGAGCAATTTACTAGAGTACCAACGGCTCTCCGCCAAAAGGTCAGAACTTACAATGCCACGATCGAGAGGAGATAATCACCAACCTCCGCTCGACGATTGGATTGCTCCAAGCCATCTAGGTGGTCCTAACCACCAAGAGTAACAAGCATCCATCCCAACACCAAGTGCCTCTAGATGCAAACACTCAAACAATGCAAATTCTCTCCCAATCTCACAAAGATGATGAAGCAATGATGGAGATGAGTGGGAGGGAAAAAACCACAAGGTTGCTATGTCAATGCAAATGGCCAAGAGAGTGAGCTTGAGCCAAATGATATTTATAGACACCCCCAACAATAGAGCTTGGCTCAATTATCAAGCACCAACAAGGTGCGGTTGTGCACCGGTTTGTCTAGTGTGATGTGCGAACATCGCCACGTGTCCCATTCAAACGGCGTGCCACCCAACGACCCTCTTTGACATGGGACCGTCGGACCGTAGTGAACACGTAGGAGGGCGGCGTCCGGTCGAGAGAGCGAGAGAGAGCCGCTCAAGCTGCGGCCGAGAGAGATAAATGAGTACGGGAAGAGTCCAACCCCTAGAGCCGCTCTGCCTCCGGACACTCCGGTGTTTTATCGGGCGGGAAGGTGGTTCGGATGTTCTCTTTACCGGATGCACAACATGCTTCGGACGTAGGAGGCGCGTCCGGTCAAGTCGAAGCTCCCGAAAATGCTGCTGCGAGGAACTATAGGAGGGCAAAAACCGATAGAGCCGCTCAACTACGATTGATATTTACTCTACGGAAAATGCCCCACGTCACCATGGCTACGCAAATGGTGATTCCTCAAACATTATCATTGCGAAACGATCCTCGGCAACTTTAGGCAGAATATGCGTCCGGTCACGTCGAGAACACCGCAATTGGGCCTTGAGCGTCCGAGATGCATGACAAAGGGCGTCCTCACCCCGTGACATATCAACTCCTTTTCTTCACCAACTTCTTCTCCTTTGTAAATGTGCCAACACCACCAAGTGTACACCTTGTGCACCTGTGGTCATATTTTACAAAGCAAAGGGGACTCACTAGATCCTAAATGCGTATGCAATGAGTTAGAGCATCTAGTGGCACTTTAAACGCATTTAGGAAACACCCTCTTAATAAATGCGGCTATTGATCCTAAATGTGAACACTCACTAAGTGTCTCGATACCAAAACAAAAATCCTCCTATCAAGTTTCACCTTTGCCTTGAGCTTTTGTTTTTCTTTCTTCTTTTCCAAGTCCAAGCATTTTATCATCACTATGCCATCACCATCATCATGTCATGATCTTCATTTGCTTCATCACTTGGAGTAGTGCTACCTATCTCATAATTACTTTGATAAACTAGGTTAGCACTTAGGGTTTCATCAATTCACCAAAACCAAACTAGAGCTTTCACATGGCCGCCTTGAGCTAACCTTGGACACCCCAACACAGCAAAACTGGCTAGCCTACTTCAATCCTGGCCTAGCCGAGTTTCCAAACCCAGCCTAACCTACTTCAAATCCGGCCTAGCCTACTTTGGTAGATTCAGCACCCCGAAACCAAACTCCAAAAAGGTGAAATCTGTTCAAACGAAGTCTAATTGGGCTCAAATTTTGCAGAGATATTCCCTGGGATGTTTATAAACTATCTCCAAAATATCAACTCGATTGAAAAATCTAGCTCGAAGATCGGGGTTTTCTCAACTTTCGTCAAAATCCTCAAACTTTGGGCTCGTGAGGAAACTACCAAATCTGATTGGTAGACATGTTCCCCAGGAGTCCTAGCACGTATCCATCCATCCCAATCGGTCTCAACCTCAGAAAAACAAAATCACCCACAACCAAGAGAAGGGGGTTCGGGAGAGAAAAAACCAAACAAAACAAGAACTCAGAGCTTGAGCCTCAATTTCCACAACATGCTTTATTTCAAGCACCAACAAGATTAGGTTTGTTGATGTCAAACATCAACGTGTCGGTATGGGACCGAACACCAAGAGCAGAGAGCAGGAGAGAGATAAATGAGTAAAGAGTCCAACCCCCCTCCCCCCCCTCCTCTCCCCCTTTTATAGGGAAGGTGGGAGGGGATGTTCTCTTTATTTCCCAAGGTGGGGTTGGTATTTACAAAAATGCTGCTAGGGGCTATAAAAAACCGATGGAGTTTGTATTTACAAAAATGCCATCAAAGGCTACAAATGGCTCCCAAACATTATATTGCAAACTCATAGGCTATGCAATTGGGCCTTGAGTGCGACAAAGGGGTCCTCAACATATAATGTACCCCCAATAGGTTGTTACAGAGGTCAGATTACAAAGCAAAGGAATCACTCTCTACACTGCTAGATCTTAACACTAAACTTAGGAAACATAACTAGAGAAAACCAGAGACTAGAAAACCTAACAACTCGAAGAGATGGCTGGTGGGGCATCCTCCTAACTTATTCATAGGCCTATTACAGATTTCCAACACGCCTTAGATATTTAGGTTGAACCACTTAACCCTAGGGGCAAAATGGTCCAAGTATTGATCGGTGCATCTAAAGGCCATGAGCTCTTCACGACTTTGCTTCACCTTGACGCAAGCTCTGCAATGACGCCACGTGTTGCCTCCAAGTCCATACCGAACTCTAACCGGGGTTTGAGGCCCAAACCCAAAAACCATCCAGCTAGTGGTTTTGAGGCCCAAACCACCAAAATCCCTAGAGAAGCGTATCCACTAGGCCTCCTCCATGATCTCGACACATG